AATTGGTCGGCGAACGCTGGATATGGGGCCTGATACACCCACCCTTTGAAGGTCCTTCCACAAACCTCCGCTACGTTCCACCATCCACAGTCGCCTTCTCCGTTGCATGTGTCTTCCCAACTCCTGCATGTGTCGTCCCAACTCCTGCTCCGCCAAGCAGCTCAACACCATGTCGTGAACCACCCCCCCTGCGAGCATTGTAATTGCCCTCGACACATCCCGGAACATGAACGGGGTGATGGCGACAGCTTCAAGCACGGCCATGCCCGCAGTGTTGCGCCTATTCACCCACTGCGTCATGAGGAGAACGAGCATGTCTTCCCACTCGTCCTCCGAACTGCCAACATCCAATGGACACATGGCCATGCTGTGACTGTGATGGGAACTGCGTCGACCCTTGCACAACAGCTGTCGTCACCACTTGATGAGCGCACTACCTTCGCAGACCCGTGCTCCTCGCCAAACCCTCCTCCTTCGTTGAAGGCCATCATGGTTTCCCGTCACTGCTTCGTACCTTCACTCCCACTCTGGATGGTCCGCGTCGGGGAAAAGTGGTACTGACCGGAGGAGTGTGGAAGGGGGGGACATCCGTCGATGCTCGCAACGGTCATTTCCGTGCATAGTCGTGCCCCACCGGCCGCGCAGACCCGGTGAGGCCGTTGTGTGCTGCACGGTCCCTGTGCGGTGTGACGAACCACTTTCGGTAATGCGCGACTTTCTGCGCGGTTGCAATGAGGGGTCCTAAATTGCGAAGGTTGGGCCAATTACGGGAGATCGGGATCGGTGGGAAATTGCATCAGTGTCCTTGTTTCTTCGTCTTTTTCTTTTGTCGCCTTTTTTCGAATGGTTGGGCTCGGAGCTGGGTGTCCCGGGATGGCCGGTTGATTGCTTGGTCGGCTGAATGGCTGGCGCGCCACCACGAGCGTGATTAATAAATATTGACGTCGTTTCTTTTGTTTCGGTTCCAAACTTTTGGACGCGGACATCGCGCGGAAATTTGCTTCATTCTTTTTTTTGAATTTTCTTTTGAATCTTTTTCGAATTTTGTTAGCCCCGATGGCTCTCGGAATTTCGGACTTTCCTTCTGGAATTTGTGTTTTTTGCTTCTTCGCATTAGATAGGAATTTAGAAATTTAGTAATTAGGATTTTTTTTTGCCGCGCGGCGCCTTTTGTCTACGCGCTTCTTCATGCGGCTGCAATGGTACTCTTATTAGTCGGCGCCTTTACTTGTAACTGTAATTTTGGGCGGGCGCCATTGTAACTGTATCTTCCTTCTTGCACTTTATCTTTCCCGCCCTTCTTCTCTTTCTTTTGCCACGCTTTTGGTAGCCGCGGTCTGCATGATCGGATTGGTGCGTGGAGAGCGGCTACGTCCCCACGCCGCGATCAGACCATGCAGACGTAGGCGAATCCCTTCCCCTTCCCTTCTTCTAAGTCCTTGTAATTCCGTGTTCTTCGCGCATGCATGCACGCTATAAATTCCGACTGCGCGATTAGTTAGCTCTCTTAACCAGCTGTTGGGAGCTCGGGGTTGCGCGATCAGGAAGGGTCGACACACGAGCGAAGTAAGAGGTGAGTAGAGCAGGAGTCGGGCGACCCGACGAGCTGGTGCGAAACGCACGGGGTTGACGCGGGCCACGACGGACTGTGGGCGCAGGCGAACCTGACGGGTGCGGGAGGACTAAGCGGGGTGACGACTTCGTGGGTTGGTGCACGACGACGGACTATCCGCATCGCAGAAGAAGAACGAGAGAGAGAGAGAGAGAGTTGAGGTTGATAGATGCGGTTTTGCTGTTTCCTTATCTTTTCTCCCTCCTGTCTTGTGTACATAAATTTTGATTTCGGCTTCGGGCAGTTTGCCCGTTCTTTTCAATTTCTCGGAATTTGGACCTGGGGTTTTTGCTCACATTTGCCCTCGCGACTCTCMCATCTCTGATGTGTTATGTGGATGATTACAGAATGGATGGATGAATGGATGTCATGTTTGATTGCCTATCTTTTTGCTGAGGAACCCTTGTCTTTGTTTTTGTTGGTCGCATCCGACGCACTCGTGTGTAAAATAGGGATTTTGCGCAATCGATAATCCTGCCTTTGTCTCTGCTTGTCTTTTGATCGAGCTGGTTGTGATCGTTGCATCTTGCATGCTCAGAACAGCACGGAGTGATTAGACGATCGGATGCCAGACTTGGCGAACGTCGCGCGAGGACACGTGTAAGACGCGATTGGAGTTGCGCACTTACATGTATCCCCGGGCGTCGACTCGTCAGGACCATCGATCGCAGGTACCCCATCCCGGAATCCGCAATGGCGCAGTCGCCCCGCACGAGCACGCGTAAGTCCGACGCCATTTGCGTGGCCTGCACGTGCTCGCATGCGGCAATCGCAATCGCTGCGGACCCGCCCTTAGGCAACTCATAATACCGCAATGACACAATGACGCG